TGTCTAGTTTAAGCTCAGATGTCGCTAGCACTTTAGCTAAGGCCAGCCTAAATTTAGCTACTTTTCCTAGAAAGAAAAGGTGGGTGAAGTAATATCTTTTAAAAAGCAACAGAGAGTCCTGTGGCATCTTTGAGACTAACAGAAGTATTGGGAGCATAAGCTTTCGTAGATAAGAGCCTCACTTCTTCATCTTGAAGTGAGGTCCTTACCCACGAAAGCTTATGCTCCCAATACTTCTGTTAGTCTCAAAGATGCCACAGGACCCTCTGTTGCTTTTTAAAAGATATTACTTCACCCACCTTTTCTTTCTAGGAAAAGTAGCTAAATTTAGGTAGGTCTTAGCTAAAGTGCTAGCGAAATCTGAGCTTAAACTAGACATTTTTTCTACCATAGGTGCAGGGTTAACACCTGCTTATCTTGTATGCTAGAACTGATCTGAAGATGTTACTCTGCACCTATGCTAGAGGTATGTCTTTGCCAGAAAAGGGAGGTTTTACACTAGCTGTAGTCAAATCCTAGTCTAGAGAAGGAAACATGGATGTAATGGTAGTTTTACAGCAGACCCTCTATTTCAAGGGCTCTCAAACTGGGGTCGGGACCCCTCAGGGGATCGTGAGGTTATTGCATAGGGGGTCACAAGCTATCAGTCTCCACCCCAAACCCCGCTTTGCCTCCAGCATGTATAATGGTGTTAAATATATAAACAAGTATTTTTAATTTATAAGGGGGGGGGTCACACTCAGAGGCTTGCTATGTGAAAGGGGTCACCAGTACCAAACTTTGAGAACCACTGCTCTATTTTATGAACTAATTGGGGATCGAGAAATTCATAAAAGTGAAAATTACAGTAGGTACAGTGCAGAACTTGCAGTACGGTACCCAGCATTGCATAATTTTCATCCTGCACACCACTGCGAAGCAATTTCTGATGCACTGAAGGAATCAGAAGGTAAAGGGCTGTCAACGTGTTCCTCATTGACATCATTTTTGTTATGAGATATTCCCCCTCCTGCAGTTTGGAAAAATGGTTCATCTAGTTGGTGGTTTGTAAGACTGGTGTTTGTAAACTCAATACCTAACTGGGTGTGGTAAACCCTAGGCCTCCCCATCATATATATTCACCTCGACTCGGTACACTAAACTGAACCTACGTTGGGATTATACAAGGAGGTGGATCTCAGTTGAAAAACAAAAACAAGTGAACCACCCCTTGCCTTCCTAGTTGAAAGCTGGGGGGAGCCTTGCCTGCACGTGGAGGCACAGCCAGAGCAAGGGTCTGGGGGTCCTGCACAGATAGGGTGATCAGATGTCCCGATTTGATAGGGACAATCCTGATATTTGGGACTTTATCTTATATAGGTGCCTATTATCCCCCACCCCGTCCCAATTTTTCACACTTGCTGTCTGGTCACTCTATGCACAATTAACACTGTGCGGAGCAGCCAGCCACCAGGCTGTGTGTCCAGGTACAGTGCAAGGGCACCCCCCCCCCCGCCCGTGTGTGTGTGTGGGAGGGGGTCTCCTCAACTGGTGAGTGTTCCTATATGGGGTTCCCCCATTTGTGGGGTCACCGCTCCAGGCGGTTCCTATCTGGGGTTCCCCCCAGGTGTAAGGGTCTCCTCTTCTAGGGGGTGTTCTTATACAGGGTGCCCCGGGTGCGGCCTCCTCTCTTGGGTGGAGTGTCCCTATATGGGGTGAGGGGTCTCCTCTCCTGGAGGGGATCCTAGATGGGGTCCCCTGTTTGTGTGCGGTGGGCTCCTGTTCTGGGGGGTTTCCTACACGGGGATCTCCTCTCATGGAGCGGGTTTCCTCTATGGGAGCGCCCCTGTGCGTGGGTCTCCTCTGCTGGAGGGTCCCCCGACTCCCGCCGCGTGCGGGCGGGGGCTCCACTCCTGCGCTCGCTGGAGGCTCTTCGCTGCGCCGGCTGGGGCGGGGACAAGGACACGGGGGCCCATTGGCTCGATGCGCTCGGCGCTCGCACACAGATGCCAGCCCCCGCCATTTTCGGCGCCGAGGGGAGAGCGGCGGCAGGCGGAAGAAGAGACGAGCAGCCGCCCGCCCCCCCCCCCCCTGCACGGGGCGCGAGCAGGTATTGGTCCGCTCCCCCCGGGGCGTGGGCGGGGCCAGGCCGCTTCCCGGAAGGCGGCGTGGGCCGGGGCCATGAGCGGAGCGGTGAGACGCGGCGGGGGAAGGGGCGCGGGCGCGGCCCCGCTGGGGGCGGGGGGTCCGCTGGGCCGTTGCCCCCCCGGAGCGCCGGGGGCTGGGCTGAGCGGGACGAGCCCGAGCGCAGTGAGACGCGGCCGGTCCGGTGGCCTTGGGCCTCCCCGCGCCGGGCCTCCGCAGCAGCGTTCCCAGGTGACACCTCCCACCCCACCGAGGTGGCGCTGCTGGTGTCCGGCGAATTGCGGAGCTTCCTGCCGGGGCGGGGGCCTCTCGGTACAGGCATTGCACCGCTTCTGTAAAGGCTTCATCTAGTCGTGTGCCACAAGTGCCGCCTTCCTTTCTTGTCTCCCCCCCCAGTACTGGAACTAAAAGAAATTGGAGGCAATAAGTGTTTTTGTTTCCTCGGGTACTTTCTGGATTTGACTCCACTTTGCATATGAGTTTCAGTGTTTCCCCTATAAAGTCAGGCAGTTTCTTCTGCTCTGTGTACATCTGTCACATAACAGCAAGGGAGAGAAAAAACATTTTGAAGAATGAGGAACCTGTGACTTAAAACATACACAGACAGGAGGGGAAGGGGGGGCAGGTATATTACCTGAATCTGCTTCCCAGTGTTTTTCTGTAATTCACTACGGCTGTGTCTACACTAGAGACCTTACAGCTGGACCTATGCAGCTGGACCACTGTGAGATCTCTCCTGTAGCTGCTCTATGCCAATGGGAGAGTGCTCTCCCATTGACATCATTAATCCACCCCCAATGAGCAGCAGTAGCTATGTCGGTGGGTATGGCTCACCTGCCGACAGAGTGCTGTGCACACTAGCACTTGTGCTGGTGTAATTTATGTTGCTCAAGGGGGTGTTGTATTCACGCACATGAGTGGCATAAGTGGTGGTGTAGACCTAGCCTAAAGTTGATAGTGTCCTTTTAATGCAGCGGTGTTATAGCCATGTCGGTCACAGGATTTTAGAGAGACAAGGTGGGTGAGGTATGTCTTTTGTTGGACCAACTTCTGTTGGCGAGAGAGACAAGCTTTTGAGCCACAGAGCTAAAGAAGAGCTCTTAAATGTCTTAAAAGCTTCTCTCTCTCACCAACAGAATCATAGGGTCAGAAGGGACCACAAGAGTAAACAGAAGATGGTCCAATAAGAGATATTACCTCACCCAACTTGTGTGTCTACTGTCCCTTTAAGATAGACACTTTCAAAAACGGGATGCTGCCCCCCCTCTCCGATCCACCAAGACACAGAGAAGATAAAAAATATCTTCTGCCCTCCTGCCTGCATAGATAGAGGGGAAAAAACATCATTTCTGTTTTGATTTTTATTTTCAATAGGTGCTCCAGACATGTGATTAACAGTTGCTAATATTAATTATGCACTGGAGTTTAGTTTAAAGTCTCTCTTATTTTTAGATTTAGCTCAGCTTTGCTCCTGGCAAAAACTTGCTTGAGGATATTTTATTTTAGCAAACCATTTTTGCAAGAGGAAGCATTTCAAGTCATTTTAAATAAAATGAAGAGTCAAAAAATGGAATGTTGAACATGTGGTTTGGGAAAGCTTTTACTCTTGAGAGAATTCTGTGCCAAAAAAATTAAAATTCTGCACACAATATTTTAAAATTCTGCATATTTTATTTTACAATAAATGTGGAGACTCCAGCATGGCAATGGCACAGGCCCCCACAGAGGTAGGAGACCACCTTACAGCCCCCCGCCTTCCACCCTGAGGACACGGACTCAACGGTGAGGCTGCACCAGACCCTGACACAGCCCAAGGGCCAGTCCTGCCCCTCTGTGCTGGGTGCACCAAGATAGTGAGCGAGAGGGACAGAGTCTCGCAGGCATGCCTAGCCCTGGTCCCTGATCCAGGTGTGAGACAAGTAGGCTCAGCCTGGTAGGATCTAAGTGTGGAGGGGCTGGGGTGTGGAAATCCAGGTATGGATGAGAGGGTTCTGTGTGGACTGTCTGGGTGTGGGTGGCTCTGCGGGGGGGGGGATCTGGATGCTCAGGAGCTTGGTGGGGGTTCCAGGTGCAGGGGGAATGGGACTCTGTGAGGGGGTCCAGGTGAAGGTGGTTTGGGCTCAGTAAGGAGGGTCAAGGTGTGAGGGTCTGCATGCAGCTTGTTGAGGCTCAGTGGGGTAAAGGGGTGGTCTGGGGGCTGGGGTGAGGGTTGGGATGCAGGGGGAAGGGCTTGGCAGGGGGTGAGACTTGATGGGGTGGGAGTCCAGATGCCCAGGGATTGGGCAGATGGGGGAGCAGCTCCCTGTACAGTGACCCTTCCCTCCACAGCTGAGGAGCAATGGGGGTGGGGAACAGAGCTTCCTGCAGCAGGGAGAGGTTTCTCCTGGCCCCAACCACTCTTTGCAGGGGAAGAGGAAGTCCCATCCTTCCCTGCCCAGTTGTGACTAGCAGCTGAGCCTAGCACAGGGTAAAAACCATTGGCCGTGGCGTCCACAGCCTGGCACCTGCCCTCCCACTCCCATGGAGTGATTTACCTCTCGGTCGGCTGTGCTGGGCACCCAAAACAACATGCCCGTGCTGCTGAGGAGGGGTGCGTGACCGTTCTTGCGGCTTTCCTTTGCTTCCCCATCAGAAGTCATTTTTCTGTAAAGAAGCAAAGAATTCTGCAGGGGACATGAATCCTGTGTGCACGCAGGGGTGCAGATTTCCCCCAGGAGTAAGCACCTCTTAAGCTTGTAAGTGGCATTTGTAAAATTGCAGTTCATAAGGTCGATCAATTACTTTGAGTATTTTGAGTAGATGATGAAGAATGACACCTGATATTTTGCTTAGAAAAACAGTTGCTCTGCATGCTTTCAGAGAAATATATTTCAGAAGAGTCCCGTTGTCTATAATAATAGTATTTGGTGGATAATGTTTCAAATATTTACTGCATTTACTGTTTCTCTGCTTAATGTTAGGCACTGTAGAATATGCCTTTATGAAAACATGTTCTCAAACAAACAACACAGAAAAGGGAGTTTTACACAATCTTCTTTTAACTAATACTGTATGTGAGCAGAACAAACACTTTCTCACTGTAACTCTGGTATCCTTCATGAAAGTGTGTTCTATCCAGGTACTAACATTATGGTTGATTGATACTATTTTAAAATAGTATTAATCTTTAAATCCAAGCTCAGTAACAGAATACTGCCTTAAATTATTAGAAAATAAAATATTTTAAAATCAGCTCCTCTTCTATTTACTTTTTGTGACCTAATTTCAGGGTTCTGTTTCTCTGCTAGTGTAATTGCTGTTAATATCTAAAGCAGTGGTAAAGGATGTAGTTTCTGTATTGTTATAAACTTTATAGCTAGCAAGAGATTTGCAGAAAATCATCTTTCTTATGGTCCCTCCTGCACTTCTGAAATTCTCCTAAGGCAAAATCAGGCTTGTTCTGGTCCTCTTTAACATATTGCGGCACATGCCTGAATAGTAGCAGTAAGTGTGATTAGTCATGGCTCTGTTTGGATTGGGCCAGAAAGGAATCTTTCTGTACAAAACTAGACATTTATGCAGTCCTCCACTGCTTGCTGAGAGACTTAGGGAAAAGAGACATAAATTGAAAATTGGACTCCTTGAACTAGTCTAGTATCCTGGCTCTGTCTGGACATATCACATCCTCTGTGGTCCAGTTTGTGGCGGGGAGTGAAACCAGGTGGGATTAGTTTGGCAGCTCTTGCTGGGCAAGGGCTATGTACACATATTGAATCCATAGAAATGTAGGACTGGAAGAGATCTCAATAGGTCATCTAGTCCAGTTCCTACACTGAGGCAGAACTAATTATTATCTAAATCATCCCTAACAGGTGTTTGTCTAACCTGTTCTTAAAAACCTCAAGTGACAGAGATTCCACAACCTCCAGGTCAGCAGTTCTCAAACTTCATTGCACTGCAACTCCCTTCTGACAATAAAAATTACTACACAACCCCAGGAGGCGGGACTGAAGCCTCAGCCCGCCTGAGCATTGCCACCCTGGGTGGAGGGGGCCGAAGCCCAAGCCTCACCACCCCATGCAGGGGCTGGGGGGATAAAGCCGAAGCCCAGGGCTTCAGCCCCAGACAGGGGGCCTGCAATCTGAGCCCCACCGCCCAGGGCTGAAGCTGAAACCAAAGCCTGAGCCCCGCAGCCCAGGGCCGAAGCCCTTGGCTTGGCTTCGGCCCCAGGTGGTAGGGCTCGGGCTTTGGCCCCGGGCTCCAGCAAGTCTAACACCAGCCCTGGCGACCCCATTAAAACAGGGTCGTGACCCACTTTGGGGTCCCAACCCACAGTTTGAGAACCCCTGCTCTAGGTAATTTGTTCCAGTGCTTAACTACCCTTATAGTTATCAAGTTTTTCCTAATATCTAACCTAAATCTTCCTTTTTTCAATTTAAGCCCATTACTTCTTTTCCTGTCTTCCGTGGATAAGAACAATTGTTACCCTCCTCTTTATAATAACCTTGTACATACTTGAAGACTGTTACCTCCCACCTCAGTATTCTCATCCCCAGACTAAGCAAACCCAATTTTTCAATATTTTCTTGTAGGTCATGTTTTCTTGACTTTGAATCATTTTTGTTGCTCTCCTCTTGACTTCCTCCAATTCATCCACATCTTTCCTAAAGTGTGGTGCCCAGAACTGGACCCAGTACTCCAGTTGAGGCCTTATCAATGCTGAGTAGAGTAGAAGAATTACTTCTTGTGTCTTGCTTACAAAACTCCTACTAATGCATCCCCGAATAATGTTTGCGCTTTATTTTGTGTGTGTGTGTGTGTGTGCGCGCGCGCAATGGTATTACATTGGTGACTCATTTAGTTTGTGATCCACGTTAACCTCCAAGACCCTTTTCCTAGGCAATCATTTCCCATTTTGTAAATGAGTATTTCTTCTTAAGTGTAGTATTTTGCATTTGTCCTTATTGAATTTCATCCTATATATTTCAGACCATTTCTCAAGTTTGTCAAGATCATTTTGGATTCTAATCCTGTCCTCCACAGTGCTTGCATCCCCTCCCCACTTGGTATCATCTGCACATTTTATACGTGTACACTCTATGCCATTATCCAAATCATTTGTGAAGATATTGCAGAGAACCAGACAGAGGACTGATCCCACTCAATATGCCCTTCCAGCTTGACTGAACCATTGATGACTACTCTGAGTACAATTTTCCAAGTGTTTGTGTACCCACCTTATAGTAGGTTCATCTAGGCTATATTTCCCTAGTTTGTTTATAAGATCTTATGAGACAGTATCATAAACCATACTAAAGTTGAGATATCTCACATTGTTACCCGCACAATCTAGGGCACCCACCCCTACCCTTCTGTGGGCTCAGGGCGTAACCCTCTTCAGGTTGGCCGGACCTTTTCCCAACAAAAGAGCCTTTACACAGTAAATCCTTAACTTGAATTTATTAGCAGTTGATGAACAGAACACACACTCCAAGTATACAGTGCTCACCACTCCTGATAAAGCTGGTGATCTCTTCCCGATGGTCAGTCGGAATTGGATACTCTGTGGCTCCAACTTCTGCACAGAATGATCATGCAGGGTATTGAGTTTTGGCAGCTTTGATCTTGGGCTGTGTCCCAGAATTAGGTTCCAAAGAATTTCTTCTTGGAGCCCAGTTTATATAGTCAAACTTAAGTTCTGCTTATGTATACCTTAACCAATCATTTAAACTAAAGTATTACGAAATAATGTTCTTCGCCAGTCTTAGCACACTACCTTTTACATACTAGAGTCAATTTAAATTTTGCTAAATCAGTTACGCAACTAACAAAGGACAGAACCAATTAAAGGTCAAACAAAAGGGAAGTATAGATTTCCCAACTGCAACTGCTAAGTGGTTCTGCCAGACAGTATGTTATCTTGAAAAGTTTTCCTTTAAACATCTTAATGTCTGTCTGTTTCTCTGGTCACTGTTTGTGCTATATGCTTCCTTAGGGCTAGAATGCTTTCTTAACAACCTATTATATTATATTGTTTTGGCGTCGTTTAGATGGAACATGACTCCCTACTTTTAGTTAATGGCTGCTGCTCCTTACTGCAGAAAGGCTTCCCCCTGATCCACAAGGCATGTTATACTGTACTGGTGTTGGAGGGGGAAAAAGCAAGAGAGATCTGCAATAGGGGGAAGAGAGATTGACAAAAAGACACAAACTAAGACAGTGGCAGTGCATATTAGTTTATAAATGCCTTCACACTAAATTGCTGTCTGGGCCTGAAGTTTAGACTGAGTACTACAATCTAGCACGCTAGTTCTCTTCTGGTGAAGATAGTAGCTCTCATAACACTTTAATTATTGGTCTATGTTGTTAAATGAGCAGCATTGACTGACTCCTGGAGGGAGTCTCATTCAGTTTCCTTTAGCAGGATAAATGATTGCCATAAAGGATCATTGGGATGATGGCTTTTGGTAGATACTCCGGTGAGAAAAAATACCGTTGGGCTGGAATAACCAAAACACCAGTCTAGATAAATAAAAATTTAATTACTGACTGTGGGCTGAACTAGCTGTGACCTGCCCTTAAAAAGTGCAGCAATTGACTGGGAGCAGCAGTTGACCAATGGAGTTTGCCTGAGGCTGAAAAATGCAAAATTAGCCTCAAACATCAGTTATCACATACTTCACTGAAGTGAAAAAATGGATGACTTGCCTGCCCACTCCCATACTCTGCTAAATTCCTTCTCTTTAGCTGTACTCATCCAGTTATACCTCATCCTACAATTGGAGATGAATGCATGTGACTGATAATGGTTATAAAACTTTGGGACCACCATATTCTTGTCATGTGATCAGATTTGAGACCTTGGTGTTCCTGGACAGTCACTAAGATTTTTTTCCTAGTCTGCACACCCTTTTTCCTGAACATCCAACAGGTAATCTCAAGCAAAAGTGAGAGTTGGAAACAAAGGGTAGAGGGGAAAATTCGTTCCAGTTTCCCAGTTAGGCTCTGCATATAGGAATAGATGTATTGACTGTGGTGCACCTTGCCATGCAAATAAAGTAGTCTGGCCATAATCATAGTACCTCTGCACCAGTACTTTCAGTGTGATAGCAGTAATGGGATCATCCCATGACAACATATTCTGTTTTCATGCCTGTGAACATTGGTATAAGAGGGCTGGGTTTGGCCCTGTGCTGAATGCTTAACCATAGCACTGTGACACTGATGTGACAGGTTTGTGCACCATTGCTTTTTGTAGGCAATAGAAGGATCAATCCCCACTTTAATCAAACTATTTTTGAAGGATTTTAAAGGGTCTTAAACTTTTTTATGTTTCAGTAAAGAAGTAAAATATACTAATAAAAAGTCAGACTTAATATTTGTCCAGATCAGGTTTTCCATCTCTGTGTATGTCTGAACTACGGAGGCTATACTAACATAGCCCCATAGTGTACACACAACCTACACTGACAGAAGGGTATTTTGTCAGTGCAGAAACACCGCCTCCCCAAATGACAGTAGCTAGGTCAAGAGAAGCATTCTTCCGTCAACATAATCCCGAGCGTAGACACAGCTATATCAGCATAGCTACATTGGTCAGGGGTATGCCAACAGCATTTGCCTCCTTATAAAGTACTCATGCACTAATTCTTAGCACTAGTGCCATAATGTTATCACTGATTTGACCTCTTGCATTACATCTGTTATGCAGGAAGTAGTATCATAGGGGAGATACATGTACTGCACTGTTGTGATTTTTAGGAATTCCCAATAAGTATTGAAGTTGAGTTGGAAAATATTTCCATGGGCAATTTTTTGTGTGAAGCAATTTTATTAAGTTTCCTATTTGTACACGGTTTTGAGTTTGGAATTCCATACTCATGTGGCCTCTCTCACTTTTACGGTTTCTTTCAGCTTCCAAGCAAAGGACACAAAAAGAGAGAGGAAGAAAAAGGAGAAGATTCCATTGACACCGAATGCAGCGAACTAGGAAACATGGATCTGAAATTCAACTCCTCAAGGAAATATATTTCGATCAGCGTACCTTCCAAATCGCAAGCCATGTCACCTCATATCAAATCAGTAGATGACATAATCGTTCTCGGCATGAATCTCAGCAAATTTAACAAACCCACTCAGTTTTTTATTTGTGTTTCTGGAGTTTTTATGTTTTATCTAATCTATGGATATTTACAGGTAAATTCTGTATTTGCATTTTATGTTAGTACCTCTGTTTATTTTGTTGAACAGTATTGGACAATGTGTAGCTTGATTGGTCTAAAAATCTGTCCTAATCTATACATTTTAAAAAAAACTACATTAAAAGAACATTAAGATCACACAATGTCAAACACTGAAGTTAGGGAAAAAATAGTAAATGACCATATAATTAAAAACTATATCATAATGCAGCTACAGAAGAGGACCTAATTAAGGATGCTTGTACTACCTTAATTCTTTTCTTTCCTTATCTTTTGAGTGCATGACTTTGCATCTTTAATGTTGTTTTTATGTGATTTTTTTTTTAAGTTTTTACAAAAACAAATTGAAAAAACAAAAGTTACATTGTATGGGACCATAATGACCTCCACATGGGTCATCATCAGGGTTGAAACATTTAGGTCTACAGTATGGACTTCTGCCACTTCAGCTAACTATTAGTAGACTGTTATCCTTTCTGCACATTCACTAGAGGGGGATGAGATGCATGCTGTGGCAGTGGGCTTCACAGCTGTTTTCTAGACAGCAGAGGAATTTTATGACTCCTGTATCCTGGGTTTTCTTCCAGCTTCTGTAGATGAATGTTCTCCAGTGGTTACATACCTTTCCGCTCCTGTCCTCCATCTGCCAACCTGACCCCAGGGAGGAGGGTTTTTTGTTTGTTTTTTAAATCTCCTTCCTCTGAAGTATCAGGAATGGCCACAGCTGGAGATAGGACATTGGGCAAGCTGAAACTGGGCTCTGAGGTGACACCAACCATTCTCTCTTAGGGTAGGTCTACACTTACCCGGTAGTTCAGCGGCGGGCGATCGAACTTCTGAGTTTGATTTATCGCGTCTTGTCTGGATGCGATAAGTCGAACCCGGAAGTGCTCGCCGTCGACTGCGGTACTCCAGCTAGACGAGAGGAGTACCGCGGAGTCGATGGGGGAGCCTGCCTGCCGTGTGTGGACCGAGGTAAGTTCGAACTAAGGTACTTCGAACTTCAGCTACGTTATTCACGTAGCTGAAGTTGCGTACCTTAGTTCGAATTAGGGGGTTAGTGTAGACCTGGCCTTAGGTGCTTGCCTGGCTGGTTCTTGTTCATATGCTCAGGGTCTAAATCAGTGGTCCCCAACCTTTTTTGTTTGGCAGGCGCCAGACGACGAGCCACGGAGGACCATGGAGGCGGACGAGCATCCCCCGAAATGCCGCCGACAAGCGGCAACATCAATAGGCGTCGTCGCCGAAATGCTGCCAACAAGCAGCGTCATCCATAGGCGGCATCTCGGCGGATGCTTGTCCACCAGCCAGTACGCGGGCGCACTTAGATGCCCCGGCAGGCGCCATGGCGGGGACCCCTGGTCTAACTGGTTGCCATATGTGGGGTTGGGAAGGAATTTTTCCCCAGGTCAGATTGGCAGTGACCTTAGGGGTCTCTTGCCGTCCCCTGCAGTGTGGGGGTTTGGGTTAATTGCCAGGATTCTCTCCTATATCTATCTTCATTTCCCTGCCATTATGGGGGGCTCAGGTATTTGTGCTCCCTTGTCCCTCCTGTTGTCTGCCTGTGGCACATAATAGTCTAGTGTTCTATAGGCTGTAATACTTCGGTCTCATTTCAGTTGTTGTATTTAGTATGCGGGTGCTGGGGATGGTGTAGGTGGCCTGTGATATACTCTAGGTCAGACTGATGATCTGGTGGTCCCTCCTGGCCTTAAACTCTGACTACATATTTTTAATTCCTGCTCCAAAGTGTGGAGGTGCTAGAGCTTCTCACCAAAATAATAGTTTTGGGGTTTTTTTAAACATTGGCAAAACATTTTTCCCAACCTTGTTCTCAGAGATAATAGGAAAACTTTTGCTGAAATTTAAAAACAGTCTGAGGCAACACCTGACATGGAAAGTTGCAGCCCAAATAGTTAAATTTGGCAAAGTTATTAGTAATTGAAAACAGGGTCTTATAATGGAAGGTATCCGTCTTAACTATCAGTCTTGCTGCTAGCTCTGGCTAAAATGGATACATCTGCATAATTCTTTAGACAGTGTGTATGTTTTTCCATAACACATTACTCTCTTGTTTTAAATGTCTGTAGATTCCTAAGAAATTAGAATTACTATTTAAAAGAGAAATTTACTAAGTTAATGTTAACAATTTGTACTTAATCTTTTATGAGTCATTTGAGAGTGCTGTTTAGAAACTGTCAAATACTGAGTAAAATGAATTGAAAACCAAGTTAAAAGCAGCCATGAAGCCCTCTCAATTTGAGATGAATGTTTATGGGCCAAATGCCAATCACTGATGAATCACTTTAATTCAGTGGAATTACGACAGCAATAAATGTGGCCCTCTTTTTTCAGTCTTTAAATGCTGCCTCTCCAATAGTTGGAAGCTATGTATACTGCATGTCCTCTCTACTTATTGCTTTGTAACTTAAAAGCATGATAATTGCATATTCACCTTGAGAAAATAGGTCTCCTAATTAAGTTTTATTTAACAGTTGGTATGTGTCTGTTTTTTGTTTTTATAGGAACTGATATTTTCAGTGGAGGGTTTTAAGCCCTTTGGTTGGTACCTTACTTTAGTGCAATTTGGGTTTTATTCCATTTTTGGACTAATAGAACTGCAGCTTATTCAGGATAAAAGGAGACGGTATGTATTTTTAAGTGATGTATCCTTTAACACATTTAAGTTATGCTAAGTTAAAAAGTTTTGATGAGGCAATCAGTTTGATAAATCTGGGAGCATAAGCTTTCGTGGGTAAGAACCTCACTTCTTCAGATGCAAGATGTGTCTTATGCTCCCAATACTTCTGTTAGTCTTAAAGGTACCACAGGACCCTCTGTTGTTTTTTTACAGATTCAGACTAACACGGCTACCCCTCTGATATTTGATAAATCTGACTTCCATAATTTGTGTATGAATATTTGCTGTTATTTCACAGATAATTGAGTAGATTTGTATGGATAGTGATAAGATAAAATGTAGTATGATTTGATGAGTGGATTTGCAATTGAAGATATACATCACTGTTTGTTTTCAACCATATACTCGTGTCCTTTGTTCCTATTTATTATGCCTGACTTCTGTTGCAATAGTGAAATGGAACACTGGCACCAATGGTAGACTTAAAAAAAATAAAAAATACACACACACAAGTTGAAAAGTTTTAAGTATCATTAATTCTTGATGCTTTGTTAGGAACCTTTTAAATTGACACTCCCATGTTAATGAATATCAAGATATGATGCTACATATTTGAGTGTACAGGTTAATATATTTTGTTATTGTGCTTATACATTTATTTCAGAGGTTGCAGAACAAGTACATTAGTATTATATTGTATGTACTGTACTATGTAAGCAAAAGGCTAGTGTTTCGGATTTAGGTCTTGATGCTGCAAAAAAATATGGACATGCACATGCTTAATTTTAAGAACTATAAGTAGTCCTATTGAAGTCAGTGGGAGAACACACAATGCTTAAAGCTAAGCAGATGCGTAAGTCTCTATGGGATCAGGACCTTAGGAACTTTGAGGTTGGTTGGAGATGCAGCTGTTTAGGCCAGACCCTTTCATTTACTTTAATTTTTTTCATTGTATTTTTCAGTTTTATTTCATTGTTTTCAGATTCACATTACACAAATTATTTCCAATAATTTATGAAATATGATTTATGGAAGCACTGATAGTGACTCCATAGTTAGTTATGTTGAAATTTGCACTTACAGCAGGACTGAAATCTGTTTCACAATTTTCTGATTCAACAGAGTCTCCAAATTTGGTGCGCGCACATAACACACACACACACGCTAACATCTCAGAACAGTCGGCTTTTTGACTTTTAAAATTAAACATGAGTTATTTTCCTCCCCAGTTCTTCCCACCAATAGTGATCCTCAGCTGAGATCCTATAAAATTTTTGTTCACGGTACACTTTTCAGTTAAACATGCATTATATTTTCAACGCTGACATTCTAAATTAGAGGTATTTCTAAAATGAAGTCAGATTTATCAGGTTACACAGAACTTTTAATTTGTTAAGCTTATTTTTAAAGAGAATAATATCTTTGACAAAAAAAGTAACCACCGGTAAAAACTGGTGGAATGTCCGTATAACTGTGGTACAGAATGTATTGTGAATAAGGCACGGGTTCCAGCAAGACTACTCCTTATTCACTGATCCTCTTTACTGAATTTTTTGTATGCAGCTAAGTTAGCTGCATGTGTATGTGCACAATGGCCTTTAGGTGCTCACTTCAAACTTAGTGCTATAATGGTTTAAAATGTACATGTGCAAAGTGTAATTGTCAGCAGGTGATAACACGCCACATCAAAAGCAGTATTCACCCCAATACTCAAAGTTCTCAATATTTCTCAGTTAGGGTATTTCAAGGCCAAATCTCAACTTTCTGTCTTCATCCATTTCTCCAAAGTTATAAAAACGCACCAGCATTACTTTAGAAATGGGCTATGTATTTTTTCCCCATTTTCTGCACACACACAGAAATGGGAAAGCTTTTTGTTTAAACTTCACAAAGAAATTCATAGTCAAACAGAGAGATTTCAAAAAGTTACAAGCAACTAAAAATGGAGGTGGTTGCTAGAATTGTTACACAGTTATGAGAGAAAGGTAGTTAAAGAACAAACAGATTCAGGAGACATAATATTGTTCCCAGCTTCCGGTGTGTTCTTTTATAAGTCACTTAACCCCTTTGTGACTTTCTTTTCTGTGAAGTAGGGATATTCCTGACGGGCTGTGTTAAGTCCTTTAACAGTTGTGATATGCTTTGTAATCCTTAAATAGAAGGCACTATAGAAGACTAAAGCATTATTCATTAGACCCAGTTGAAAATATGGAAAACTTCAACAGTTTTTATAGTAATTGTTAATTTCATTGAAGAGATGAAATTTTTAGTGAGTTTGACCCATTTTTCAACTAGTTCTATTATTAGTGTATCCTTTCTTCTAGCTTCTCCCATTATGAAAGTCTCACCTATTAAAAATACAATATGCTCATAATACCAAGATTCATACATTTATATTTTGCAGAATCCCAGGCAAAACCTACATGATAATAGCCTTTCTAACTGTAGGGACTATGGGTTTATCAAATACCTCCTTAGGATATCTGAATTATCCTACTCAAGTCATCTTTAAGTGCTGTAAACTGATTCCTGTTATGATAGGAGGAGTCTTTATACAAGGTATGCACTGTTCTTACTATTAAATGTTTTTCTTATTAGAAGATAACCACATAAGGGCCAAATCCTGTATTCCATTGATTTTAATGGAAGTTTTGGGTAGAGCTGGGCAGGAAACAGTTTTCCTGTCTGGGGGGGCGGGGAAAGGGAATGCCCATAAAACATGGCTTGGATCAAAATGGTTTATTTCAATATTGACCTTTTTAAACAAAACAGTTTACTATAAATTAACTTAAGTTTCTAAACAATGTAATTTTGAACCCAAAAACCAGAACTACTCATGTTGAAAATGTCTAAATAGGATATTTTGACAAATTTCAAAAATGTTTTGAAATGGGAAATTTGTCAAAAGAGACCTTTTCCTGCAGAAAGTTTTGGTTTCAACAAATCAACAATTTTGACCAAAAAAAAAAAACTTACCCAACCAGCACTGGTTTGGGTTGCTCAGAGAATACAGGATTAGCCTCTAAAATTGTATTTCATGCTATGATATACCAGAAGAGGTTCTGGATGATGAATCTGACTGAAGCTCATAACTCTGAGCATGTAAATAAAATACATAACATATTTCAATATTTTGATAATCCACATAATATATATCATGAAAAATTCTCACTTGTATCTGTAGATTTGTTGCTACTCAAAGTTAGTAAGGGTACATCTGTATAGCAAGTGCCAGCAAGCCTGAGTCAACAGATTCAGGCCCACACTATGGTACTAAAACAGCTGTGTAGATGTTGTGGCTCAGGCTCTGATGGCTTGGGAGAAGGGGGGAGGGTTTCTGCACAGCTATTTTTAGTGCTGCTATGCGAACCCGAATCTGTCGACTCAGGCCCTGACACTTGCTGGCACTCACAGTGTAGATGTACCCTAAGATTCTCCACATGGCAAAGGACTACAGAACTGAGCCCAGAATGTAGTATTCCTATTACTGTAGTTCTGTCTTGTAGTTACAGTGGAACATTTACACGTTTCAGTATTGAGACTGAAGCAATAATAATAAAAAAACAGTTTTTAAAGAAGAAAATCAAATATGCAAATTTATACTAAAAAGTAAATATTGTATGTGCAATTAACAGCTCAGGTCTGTCGCACAATTAAATCTTCTTGTCATTTAAATTTGGAGCATTCGGGTCTCTGTAGGTAATGTTTTTATAATGCCTTTGGATTATATAGTGCTAGGTTCTTGAAAGCTGAGAACATAGTTTAAAAATGTAGGTGTTAAACAATTTTTTCTGGCAGCTTACATGGTATACACAGCCCCCTGGGAAGGAATGGAATCTGTTATTCAAATGATATTCTCAGGACCCCCAAAAATACAGCTGGCTGCATTGCTAAGTTCTAGAACAACAGTTCCCGAATCATAGAAGATTAGGGTTGGAAGAGACCTCAGGAGGTCATCTAGTCCAACCGCCTGCTCAAAGCAGAACCAACCCCAACTAAATCATCCCAGCCAAGGCTTTGTCAAGCCAGGCCTTAAAAACCTCTAAGGGTGGAGATTCCTCCACCTCCCTAGGTAACCCATTCCAGTGCTTCACCACCCTCCTAGTGAAATAGTGTCTGTTGAGCCTTTTCTGGTGCTTTACAGAAAACTGGCTGACCAAACGGTACTGGCTCTCCTTGTTTCCCTCTGTGATGTTACATTTACAGATTATTTTAGTTATCTTTAATCTATTTTTCCATGTAAGTAATTGCTGTACAGTAACTCCTCACTTAATGTTGTAGTTATATTTCTGAAAAATGTGACTTTAAGCGAAATGATGTTAAGCGAATCCAATTTCCCCATAAGAATTAATGTAAATTGGGGGAGGGATTAAGTTCCAGGGAATTTTTTTTTTTTTGTCCAGACAAAAGGCATTATATACATTTTAAACAAGCAATTTAATACAGGTATTAGGCTGGCAGCCCCCTCCCCCCAGTGCCTCCTGCTTGCCAGCGGACCCTGCAGATCAGCGCCTTCCCCCTGCTCCTCCCGCCTCCTGCTGCATTCAGGAGGCAGGGGAGGAAGGGGGAGCTTGCGTGCCACATCCTCGCTTTCCCCCCCTCCCCCAGCCTCCTAAACGCCGCAAACCAGCTGATTGCCACTGGCAGGAGGCGCTGGGGGTAGGGGAGTAGGGAAGCTGTTGGGGGGGCTGCCAGCTGTGGACAAAGCAGGCGGCCAAACGACATAGCGGAGCATTGCACAACTTTAAACGAGCATGTTCTGTAATGGAGCAGGGACGCAAGATTGAAATAACGTTAAGCGAGACGACATTAAGTGGGGAGTTGCCAAAGAGATGTGTAATTACTCTATGGGAGGAGATGTGGCCTGTGCCATTGTAAATGGTAACAGCTATTGCCCACAAGATTTCTCAGTGGAGATGTGGTATGTACTATGAAAAAGTTTTTGAGAACTGCTGTCATAGAGAGTTGCAGTCAGGCCTTCTACTCAGATATTGGGAGGGAGAACATTGGGTCCATTTGTTTTGGTGGCGTACTGAATGGGAGTTTTTCTCCTTTGTCTGCCATTCCCCCCTAAATAAAGGGGAGTTAAAATTAAGACTATTAAATAGCCTTATTTTTTGTTGTTGTTTGTATTTTTGTATAGGAAAACGTTATAATATTGCAGATGTGTCTGCGGCAATGTGTATGAGTCTTGGCCTAATATGGTTTACTTTAGCTGACAGCACAATCGCACCAAATTTCAACTTGACAGGTAAAGAAGCATTTTACTTTATGGTTTAATAATTCTTATTTTGCCTAGAATGAGCATTGCATAAAAGTGGGAGCCTTTGGTGGTAGATTTTGTTATATCATTTTACCAGCAGCACTACAGCTATAATAGAAGAGACACTATCATTCTAAGCCTTAGTTCTCAAGCACTTAAAACTTCCCCAGATATTACCCTTGGATCTGAAATATCTCTGGTGGATCTCAGTACAGAAGTAAATATATCTTGAGAAGTTTGATAAAATTCCATTTGACCAGTTTTGAAATATTTTAAATAGAATAAAAAGTGGGTTTTGTTAACTTTCAGACTTATTTCTTGCAGCTGGTAACTGAAACTTTTTTCTTTACCTCATCTTTGCTATAGATTTAATCCTCAGTGAGAACTAGTGTTCTTGACATAATTTCTTCATGTAAGTTAGAAATAGTAGAAGATATTTTAACTGATGTGATACTTCATAAATTCCTATCTAAAATTAAAAGGGAAAAAACACTTATGCATTCATTTTTGTATAAATTAGCGAAATCAAAAGGAACTTTTGCTGGACCACCAAAAAGCACAGCAGGTCTAACCTTGGGATTAATTTCAAGTTTCTGCCTCTTTCCCCTGAGGTACTAGAACTGTCCAAAAAATTCAGTTTTTTAAAATAAAGACAAATTGCTTATTTTCATTAAGTTCTTACTCAAAAAGGGCTTAACCATTTTTGCACTGACACTCAAACTGGAAAATTTCACCCTGAAAGTTGAAAGTTTGACCAAGTTATAAGTGACTGAAAAAGGCTCTTTAAATGGAAACAGTCAATTTTAATTCAGTGCTTCATCTACAATATCTCAAATATATGTATTTGAATAAGCAATCATTTCAGTTTGCACCTGGTGTATTACAGGGCTTCAAACTTTGAAATCAGCATTACCAATCTCCAACAGAAAGGTAGGGCCTCTTCAGATTCCATCTTAAAGCGGATGGGACTATAGACTTTGATATCCATCACCATTAAAATCCCTTGAGTCCAGCAAGTCTGTCAGCCTTTCTGTTACGCTCCATGCTGCTACCTTAGAACTGCACATGCTTTCTAGAGAGTACAGCTCTGAAAAGCATACCTCACAGTGGAACTGCACATATGTTCTCAGGATTATGTAAACACAGTGCTTCATATTTTACTAATTTAACAATTACATTAAAACAATTCTAGTGCAAGATTGTTTGGTGTTACACATACTTAATGCCCACATCATGAAATTTCAAGTTGTTTCATGCAGTAACCATGAGTTATGTGCTATATAATAAGGCATTGGAGTTAATGTAAGAGTAACATGTATGTACAATGTAGAAATTTAGGGCTGTCCATTTTGAAGCTGTTTTTATTTCAGGAGATTCAGATGAGACATAGTATAATTGTTTGACAATTCATTGTGGAACCTTCATTCATACCAGCATTGGTTAATCCTAAAACAAAATGATCCCTTTTTTAGGGAAGAAACCTTACCTTTTCAGAAAGGTTATCCATCTAGTGTTGAGCGGTGCTCAAAAAGTAATGATTTATGATGATGTCTGAACTCAGATGGTTATTTAGTCTTGTCCTAGTTTTGCTATGTTGGCTTTATAATGTGTGTCACTTTAGTGGTATTACAACTGGAAAAAATGCTACCTATCTAAATTATAGGCTCTACCTGTATACATCTACATAGTGGAACAAGAGACAAGATGTGTAGTTGAACAGAGAGACATGTATTTTGGGTACAACATGTGGGTATGTTCTTTTTTGCACCCACCAAATAAGTATATCCCAGGAAAAACACATGTAGGCACATGTTCTTACTGAGGTTTTAATAGTTAAAAGCTATTTTTAAGTGGCATTCTTTAAAATCAGATTTTAAAAGGTCAGATTTTTATTTCTGAATTTGTGTGAAAATATCTCTCTACAAACTGAAGGACTGAAGACCATGTTGGTCCTAACACCTTCAGTAATTTGATGTAAATATGTCTTCCGTATGTAGTCTTTGAGTATTGTCAATATAAGACAACAAACAGCACTACTTTTTTCCTTTTTAAGGCATTTAGGACCCATTTCAACCAAAGATCTATCTTGACACACAATACAAAAGGATAAAGAAAGACAGAGTTGAAGGGCTAGGGCACAGGACTGGAGCTCAAAAGAGAGTCTTCTTTCAGAAGACTGGGTCTGAGTTTTTTCCTGCTTTGCTGTTTACCTGCTGTGTAAGTTGAGCAAGTTACCTCTCTGCACCTTCCTCCCACCCTGTATCTGTCCAGGTCATAAAATCTAGTGTGAACTGGGGTTTCCGTAGTTTAGAAGCTGGATATTTTATTTTATTAGCTGAATGATGGAGGTAGGAGGCAGCTTAGTATAGTTCCTAAAAAGTGGGCTTACTTTTGACATTACATCAGTATAAATCAAGAGTAACTCCACGGAAGCCAGTGGAATTAACCTAAGAATTTTCTCACTGTGTAATTTGATGTACCTTGTCCTTGAATAATTTTTTTTTTTCCTCTGCAAAGGGACAGCAAACTGAAGAAAAGCACCGTCAAGGTGCCTCTATGAAACAGACTATATATTGACATTTGAAATGTATGTAATCAGAGTAAAAAGAAAAGTGAACTATAGACTTAAGTCTCTTGAGGCTTTCAAAATAATGTTAACTTTTTACTCTGCAGTGTAACTTTAAAATGACAAATTCCTAAGAATTCGTCATTTTAATTTGTCTTATGACATCACCTAGTTGCTAGTCACTAAATAATAATGTCACATTTCCTCCTGGTGGTTTATAATAATGCATTTGTTAGAAGCATTTACACACAAACTAGTATGATTCTGGCTGGAGCTTTTTTTTTTTTTTAACATATTCATGATTTAATCAAAATTCTTTAAACGTGCGCATTGTCAAGGGCAAATCTATTTACATGTCACAGTTTTGCCTAAGGAAGCAAAACTATGCTGAGAGGTTAAATGGAACAAATAATCTTTGCTGTCTGATATGAATGTTACAAACACAAACCTGAGTGGATTTAAAGCATCAGCTGGATGAACAGTTTTGCCCGTATTGTGCCATCAGAATTTTGTAAATCAGATTTAAGGCTCTTTAATAGCAGTGGAGTCCAGGAGAAGCATTGCTGTGCAAAAGCAGCAAATAGACTTAATGAAACATACCCCACTCAGTGTTCCATTCGTGCACTAAAGATGTTAGCAAAGGAAACAGACGTTGACTTTTGCCGATGCAGTCTTGTACCAAGGAAGGAATACATTTTAAAAGTAGAATTGATATTTAGTGCTCAGTAATGGCTCTTGGCATTGTCTGACTGAGTAGCGCTTGGAAGTATAATGCCTTTTAAAGGCCTAATCCAGGGGTCGGCAATGTTCGGCACGCGGCTCGCCAGGGTAAGCACCCTGGCGGGCCGGGCCAGTATTATTTACCTGCTGACGTGGCAGGTTCGGCCGATTGCGGGCCCCCACTGGCCGTGGTTCGCCGTCT